ACAAACACGGGGAGACCCAGAGCCCGAACCCAGAATGTCAGCAATGCTGGCTCAGTGTCTCCGACACGGCCATCGTGAACTTCCCCGATCCAACCAGGCACCTCCAATAATTCCCACTGCATTCCCATTACCTCGTGATGGCATTAGCATTCCTTTTTTTTCTTAACTCCTGCGGACAAATTTCACTCCGGAACCCGGCAACATTGTGTTCGCTCTCCACCGTGCTCCCCATCTGTGCGAGGAAACCTCCCCCACCCCACCCCGCACACCATTCAGGACAAGTTGCGACATTTTAGTCCTGAATGGGCGACAGTCAATGGCGCTATGAGTGCGCATACCGATTTAGGGATTTATCAGCCGATTTCTCTTGAGCAGGACCTTCGAATGAGGGATTAGAGTGTGTGGGGGGGGGGGGGGTGAGCTGCGTGTGGCCTCCGCCGTGTGGGCCGTGGACACGCGCACACAGCGCCAATCCAGGCTAAGCCCTATGGTACACAGCCCTCATTGGGATGCAAACGGGACCGGCGGCGGATCCTAGGCATAGGGCGCCTCATGGCTCAGAGGGATTAGCATTAACATGACAAATCGAGAGCAGTTCCACTCTGATCTCTTTCTACCCGAGAAAGGGAACGGACGATAGAGAGAGAGAGAGCGCGGCAGAGACACACAGAGAGAGGATTACAATGATTTGCTTCGCTGAACTCGTAACGATTGCAAACCCGCGATTGGAAAAGTAAACTTTTTGAAACTAAGCGATGTTTGCGAAGGGAGGAATGGACGAGTGACAGAGAGAGAGAGACGTATCCACACGAAGTGCATCTAGAACGATGTCGCTTCTTCGCTTCTTCGCCTACAGCACTCGTTATCCATGCACTATGAGAGAAATGTCAGCGTGCAGGCTGGAGGACTGTTCGGCGAATTTGAATTTTGGCGCTTGTGAATAGTCGAAAGGAGGAAGCCGTGGACTGTTGGCTATGTCCGTAGCCCAGCGCGCTAACCGCTGCGGCCACCGCTCCCCCTGAGCGTTAGAGCATTCACCTGGTGCCACATAACGAGTCATCGGCCCATGCGCACATCTCATTCGTGAATGGAAAATTAAAGACACGCCGCCGTTCGTGCTATCGTGGCCACGCAACCGAAAACTACGGACCACATCGTGAACTCAGAGAGATCCAGGGAGATCCAGAGAGATCCAGAGAGATTCGAGAAAGAAAAGCCACAGTGATGCGACTGTGACCATGCGACCCAATAAGGCCACTGCAGTTTGGGCTCCTTCCACGGAGAAAACGCAAAACCACTCGAAGTGTCTCCTGCAGCCCTCTCGTCGTGACCAGCCGACCTCACACGTTGGCAATGAGCTCCTGCACATCTCGCTGCCACACGCAGGAACAGAATAGAATAACGAGTCTAATGTTTTCAAGAGTGGCGAGTGAATAACATGTTTTATTTCGGCTGCACGCTGGTAATTGGGCATATTTGGTGAAAAAGGAATGTATACACGAAACTCCCTGGGCATCAACTGGCACCTCTTAAAGTACCAAGACTTGAACATTGTCAATAAGTGCGAGTTACCCGATAACCCCACGCATGTCACGTGGTCATGGGTGAGGTTACTGGCCACGGAAAATCATTGGTACCAGTAAAGTTACTCCACTTCTGGTTGGTACCGACATGTTGAGACGTCTGCTCTGTGCTCATGGGGCTATGCTTCTCAAGCATCATTTTCAGGAGGGTCCTGCATTTAAAAAAATCGGCTAATTCACGATGCGTTTCTTACGCTCTCCAATTGAGGCTGAACGCGTCGATGCATTGCCTCCGTCGGTGTAAAGCGAAGCGACGGCACCATCCGGCACGAGCGAAACTTGGGTGTGAAGTTGTGCGACTCGGGGTGGAGTTCTCCTCGACAAAACTGCACCCCGTGATCTCAGGGTTTCCCGAGGAGAGCCGCCGCTGCATCAAGAGGGTTGGTTTCTATGAAGAGGATGATCCCTGTCATGGGAATATGGAATTTCCACCACTGGTTCAGAAGTACTAGTGTAGACGAACATTGCACATTTGAGCTGGGGCAGGTTCACTTTAACATGAATATAATAGATATGATGCAACTACTGTATAGATGTTTCTATGCAAAGACAAAGATCCCCCGTATAGCCTGAACAGACATTTGGGGTATGTGCTGTAAGTGAGCACCACTACGCCAGGCCGCCTTTGTCTCGCTAGTGGCGACGGTTTTACAAACCGCAACAGGTACTCATTTGAGCCCAAGTCGACTTAGGGGAGGCCCAGGATCGGTTCAAATAATCTTCATTGGTGTAGAACGTGAGCGGGAATCGAACTCACGAACACACACACGTACACGCAGAGGCATGCATGTGCACAAGCACTCGCGTGACACGACCCCCTTGCACACCGAGACAGGGAAGTCCTCACCCTCCTCCAGCCACTCAGCCACTCAGCCACCCAGCTACTCAACCACTCAGCCACCCAACCACTCAGCCACCCAGCCACTCAGCCACGCAGCCACTCAGCCACCCAACCACTCAGCCACCCAGCCACTCAGCCACCCAGCCACTCAGCCACCCAGCCACCCAACCACCCAGCCACCCAACCACCCAGCCACCCAGCCACCCAGCCACCCAACCACCCAGCCACCCAACCACCCAGCCACCCAGCCACCCAACCACTCAGCCACCCAGCCACCCAGCCACCCAACCACCCAGCCACTCAGCCACCCAACCACCCAGCCACCCAGCCACTCAGCCACCCAACCACCCAACCACCCAGCCATTCAGCCACCCAGCCACCCAACCACCCAGCCACTCAGCCACCCAACCACCCAGCCACTCAACCACTCAGCCACCCAACCACTCAGCCACCCAACCACCCAGCCACTCAACCACTCAGCCACCCAGCTACTACTCAGCCACTCAGCCACCCAACCACTCAGCCACCCAGCCACTCAGCCACCCAATCACCCAGCCACCCAGTCACTCAACCACCCAGCCACTCAACCACCCAGCCACCCAGCCACTCAACCACCCAGCCACTCAACCACCCAGCCACCCAGCCACTCAGCCACCCAGCCACCCAGCCACTCAGCCACCCAGCCACCCAACCACTCAGCCACCCAGCCACTCAGCCACCCAGCCACTCAGCCACCCAGCCACCCAACCACCCAGCCACCCAACCACCCAGCCACCCAGCCACCCAGCCACCCAGCCACCCAACCACCCAGCCACCCAACCACCCAGCCACCCAGCCACCCAACCACTCAGCCACCCAGCCACCCAGCCACCCAACCACCCAGCCACTCAGCCACCCAACCACCCAGCCACCCAGCCACTCAGCCACCCAACCACCCAACCACCCAGCCACTCAGCCACCCAGCCACCCAACCACCCAGCCACTCAGCCACCCAACCACCCAGCCACCCAACCACTCAGCCACCCAACCACCCAACCACCCAGCCACTCAGCCACCCAGCCACCCAGCCACCCAACCACCCAACCACCCAGCCACCCAACCACCCAGCCACTCAGCCACCCAACCACCCAGCCACTCAGCCACCCAACCACCCAGCCACTCAACCACCCAACCACCTAACCACCCAGCCACTCAGCCACCCAACCACCCATCCACTCAATCACCCAACCACCCAACCACCCAGCCACTCAGCCACCCAATCACCCAGCCACTCAGCCACCCAACCACCCAGCCACTCAGCCACCCAGCCACTCAGCCACCCAACCACCCAACCACCCAGCCACCCAGCCACTCAGCCACGCAACGACCCAGCCACCCAACCACCCAGAGCTATCCTCTAATTCCCTAAGAAACCGACAGAGCGTGCAATCCATGGTGCGACATACAGGCAGATGGGTTCCCACTCAACGAGTCGACTCGAGATCGCTTAAAACACCCAACACTCACCAACCTCCATGGGCGGGACCCGCAGTGAGGTTCTGCACGCATAGTGCGGCATCTCTAAACACCTTGACATCTCTAAACACCTTCACATCTCCACCTCGTGTCAACCATTACAATGCCCAACTGTAGATGTTTGTTTTGTTCTCAGCCGAGGGCGGCACCCCCCCTCCCCCCCTGGTGACCGCTGTCCCCCTGTCCGGCACAACGCGAGATGCAACAATGACTCAGAGGAGGAGGAGCAGCCACGCGGCGAGGAGCCGGCGTTACCACCAATTGCCCGAGCTTTGCGCTCCTCTACGTGTTAAGGTGTTACCGGCCAATTAATGAGTTCTTACACGTGGGATGAAAAAAACCCGGAGAAGCTGGAGAGAACCCCCTTTCATGCGAGGAAGCAACACTCTATCGGTCTCTATCCCATATGCCGTTGGCACAAGGTGGGGCTCCACACGCCTGCTGCACCGCCGCCTCCTGGCGAGCCCGGCGTTGTTCCTCCTCTGGAGGGCCGCGAAGTTCGTTGCGTTGATGGTGGCCTTAGTCGCTTGATTTCTCACTTTCACAGAGAGGGGGGGGGGGGTCGTGTGGGAGTTGCTTGCTGTCTTCCACTCCAGAGCCAGGGATAAAAGAAGCCGAGCCAAGGGATATCCCAAACCCTCACCCCTTCCCACGCCCCCATTCGCCCCTATCGAGTCGCACGCTGGTCGACACGCGAAGAGATTAAGTGTGGAGGAATGTCATCAACGCAATTGTGCCCGCCGTAATCACAACACCTTCCAGCCGAGGCTTAGACGCCAGGATTCGAACAAGGCTGGGCTCGGTGCCCAGCCGTGGTCGCCAGGCCCTGCCCATTGCAGCTCCCGAGCGGCGCGAGGATTGTCCTGTAGTGACACCTAGCGCGTCAGTGCGAGTGTGCCCACGCAAACCCAACAACGTGTGCGACCCGCAGCAGCAAGGCGACACCTCTGGGGAGAGGGGGGTCCACTTTCTATAAAACGTTTTAGATTCAAGCCTTCTGAAAGGCTCTCATTGAGTTGACGCACAAGCAGACACACGTAACGCCGAGCTTTTACAATCGATTTATTAGGCAGCCACACACCCTGCATTCACATTGCACGCAATCACGAATACTCGGCACTTTATTAACAACAATTTTTGTTTGACGAACTCGAGGCCACAGCGCCACGACTGCCCCGAGTCCCTCGGAGGACGCTCGCTCGACAGCGCCCGCCTCCACAGTCGTCTTGTACGGCCGCCCGCCTCACGACACGTGCAGTTGACGTGCACGCAATGAAAAACACTTGCGTCGAGGTGCACCTAGCCTGGCACAAGCGCCGCGGTGGCGTCAACGCCACTCAAGCGACAAATCGCCGTGTTCTGTGTTGTGTGGCGTGCTGTGCAGTGCAGTATATTCAGGCTGGGCAGTGCATTCGCAACGAACGTTGTCAGCGATCTGCGCGCGCTTACTAGTCGGGAAAAGCCAATCGAATTACACTCGCCACCGTTTTCCGTCTTTGTTGTGATTATGTTGACACCTGTTCACCCAGGAAAGACCTTTTTTTCAGGAAGGGAAAAGGGGTATGATGTGGTTACTGCTGCCGCTGCTGTGTTGAACCCAGTTGAGTCATTTCCAGGAACATTGTTCAGCATTTGAAGCACGGTTTGTTGGCAAACACCACTTACATTTGTTGCTGCTGCTGCTATTGTGTTTGCTACGAGAGGAGACCGAGCTGACCCAGCGGAAACCCCGTGCGGAACAAGCGGGGATAGAACTCGACTTGGACACGTGGACAAGCCCCACGAATCGGAGGAATCAAACCCAGCGTGGCCTCTCCTGGCCGCGAAAGCCGATTTACCACTTGCGCTGCCAGTCCATGGAACGACACGCAGGGGGTGATGGGGGAGGGCCCTGCAGGCCACACACAGGCGGCCCGTCTGCTGGACACGCCGCCACCGCTGCTGGGCCGGCTCCCTCCCCGCCGCCGCCGCCACCGCTGCTGGGCCGGCTCCCTCCCCGTGGCCGCCGCGGCCACCGCAGCGGCGGCGGCGGCGGCGGAGCGCCCCACGTCGCGGGTTGTGTCGTGGCCGAGCTCTCTTCACTTGTGGGAGAATCGCCTGCCCTGGCGCTCCCTCATAAGCTGGCGGAGAAAAACAACAGGAAGGCAACCGTTTTGTGTTTTACCACAGCAGTACAATTACTGTTATTGTTGTTGCTAAATACAGCAAGAACATTAAAACCAAAAATTACTTACTATTTTTTGGGGGTTTTTTGCTCCGAAACATCGTGATTTAATTTATTGGTTTTCTTTTTTTTTTACCTAAGTGACTTTACCGAAAAAACCAAAAAGTATCTTAACCCCTGTTTTATTTCCAGAAGGGTAAAACCTATTTTTATTTTTCATTCGACATACCTTCCACACGCAACGCATTGTGTTGGTGTGATGCATTGTGGGTCACGAAATAATAAAATAATACACAAGGGTTTCTTTCACCACGGAAAAATATCGCAATTTATTCCATCAGCCGACAGAGCTTTTGGGATTGTTAAAGACAGGTGTACAGGTGAGGAGGTGGTAGGCAGACGTACAGGCAATAGAGGAAAACAAACAAGATGGGCAGACATGGAGACACGAACGGGCAGGTAGAAACACAGGCAGGTAGACAGACAGACAAACGCACAAAGAGCGACAGATCCAAAGACAGGTGGGTGGGTGGATATGTGGGTGGATATGTGGGTGGACGTCTGGGTGGGCGGGCAGGTGGATAGGTGGGCAGGCAGATGAACAGGTGAACAGGTAGGAAAGCTCACAGGTAAAGCAGACACAAGGCAGAAGGCTCGTTGGACAGGTAGGTGGAGAGGAGTCCCACTCCTTGATGAAACTAAATCATTAGTTCACTCTCGTGCCGTGAAACAGGCCCCCGCACACCTGTGTATCTGGTCAGCAACAGCCTCCTCACCTGCTCGCTTAGCTGCAGCAGTTTTCCAGCACTGCTCTCCATCTCCGCGGTTTTGATCACCGTGTCTTGCAGCACATCCCCGCGTTCCGCGATGCTCTTGCACAGACGTTCAAAGGGCGACGTCTCGCCCCTGATGAGCGGCGGCGACCCAGGCCCCGGCCCGAGATCCCGGGCGGTATTCCGGGATCCTCCGTCGGAGCAGAGAGGGCGCCGAGGCTGGCTGCCAGGGCTCGGGCGCGACGAGGCGGGGTGGCTGGGTATCGTGTCGCCGACTGGGGAGGCGCGCCAGAGACAGCGACACGCGGCGGACGTTACGGTTGGCCCCTCGGCGAGCGCTATTTGTTGGTTCCGCGAAAAACAACGCCGTTCATTGAAATGATCGTCAATCGGATAGAGGACATGCACGTTTAAAGGGGCTTCATTCGTTACAAGGCGATCGGGAGTTGACCTTTTTCATCCCTAAAAACATAGTTTATAACACTTAAACACGCAATTTTAGTAAGTAAACGTTATACGAACATGTTAATAGAAACATGGATAAATAATGAATAAATAGAGCATACAATTGTAATTCTTACTTTAGGATAAGAATAAGGATGGCTTAAGGGGCTCGGGGAGAAGTTGGGATTTGGAGAAAATAGATTTTTGGAAGGAGTCTCCTCTTCAATTCGAACCTCTGGCAGGTTCAGGAGCCGAAATTGGCAGCCACGTGGTATCGTTAAACATCGTTAATCGCAAATGTATCGTGAATATAAACAATGGGGACCCTATGGGAGGCGGATCGTTGCTTTGAAATATTGTTAAATCGATGGCATCGCAAACCGAGGGACCACCGTACTATTATTATTATGACTCGTGTAATTGTCCGTCATATGATGGGTTCATAAAAATAACATTTAATGATAACGACTAAAATTTTAACATTGTTTTGAATTTATTTAATCTAAAAATGTCTCGATCACATTTGGTGTAAAATTGATGATCATCTCCCAAAATATTTCCTTGAGATGAATTTTGTTGAATCGGCACTTTGATGTTGGTTGGATTTTTGCATCTTGACAAAGCAACAAATTAATAATTAGTTACAAATTTAATAAGCCCGTCATGAAAAAAAACATTTAAAATTGCATGAAAAATCCATGTAGCCTGCCGAGCAGCATTACACACAGCGTCGAGTGTCAGGCATTAGGCACAGATCACCAAAACGACATGTATATTAGGGACCACCAGGGCATCCTTATAATCCTATATCATTATTGGATTGCTTGCTTTCCCATGAAAGCTTCAACCGAGTCTCGCGAGTTATTTTCAGGAGGGTCCTGCTAAGTTTCCGCCGTAAGAATAATAGACATTTGCTTGTAAGGTGCCTTCCACTAACAGTCTCAAGGTGCCTTGTAAGAAAAAGGGTAAAGAAAGGCCAAGAGAGAAGGAGTAAGGGTGGGGCTACCATGCTGCTGCTGCCGCTGCTTGCTGCCGCTGCGGAATCCCAATTTGTGTTCATTTGCAGGTCACTTTCCAGCAGTGGGAAGATTCGGCCAATACCGGTGACACTCGGTGGGTGTGTTGTCTTTTTAGCCATGGGAGGGAAACTGGAAAAGCCAGCACAGGGCGGTGACGCGGCCCAGCAAGTCGCGAAGGCTCGCCGCTTGCTGCAGAGGTCTGCCTTTCGAATTCAGCGGCCGCCCCGGTCAATACTGCGGCGCACACTAAACCGTGGCCCTGCGACACGACGTCCACTTCGCGAAAGACGTCAAAGATCCCGTGACGCAAAATAGGAAAAAAAAATTGCCAGTATCAAGGAATATTACAAAATAACAATATGTTTGATCCTTTCTCGCAATAAAACAGTTGTGTCAAGATGTTAAAACACCAAACAGAATCCTTATTCAAGGAATCCTGTCTGCATTAACCACACGTACCTGTAGTGAACATGCAAAAAACATGCTTTGATTATATATGTGCATTGTCTTTGGAACTGATTGGTCTACACTGAAGACAGCCTTCTTCATGGCCTCGTCTCACCAGTGTCAGACCAGAGAACGCCAAAATGCGAACAGTACAAAGACAATGCCACTATCAGAGCGTTGATCCCGTGACGCAATTCGTGAGAGGAGGCCACCGCAGACTGCCGTGGGCTGCGTCTGTGAAACACCACGGCGCCCTCCTTCACGACGACAGAGCCTCGCGCTACGAGGATGGCGTGAACGCTGAAAACTTTAAACCGGAGCGATGATGATGATTATTTACGAATATGTTTAAAGCACTTACAGAGCTCCCTCTTGTCCAGTGAGAAGCCCCAGGATTTGAAGAGCTTCTTGAAGAACTGGTTATTCGTGGGCTCGGGATGCGGCACGGAAATGAAAAGGTCTCCTCTGTACTCCTGAGACGATAAAAAAATGAAAGGACCATTCAACAAAAGGCGCACGTGTACCTGTGCATGTGTGGTGGTCATGTTGACACACACATGCCCACCAGAACCGGGGTGCTTACCGGTATGGGATAGTTGTGTACTCCTGGCCGGGACCCGCCGGGGGGAGGGGGCTGTGGGCAGTGTCTACGCTCCCACAGAATCCCCCGCCCCTCGGTGTGGAGCGGTAGAAACCGGTCCGGACCGGTCGGGCCAACGGCGGTTAGAACCCCCCCTGAGGGGAGGGGGCTGGGGGAAGCTACGATCCCCCAGAACCTCGCCCCTCAGGGAGAAAGAGTATATAAAGCGGGTCCTTGAGAGCGCGAGGCAGTCCGCCTCAATCCGAAGTCAAAAGCCACCTGGAGAAGAAGACCCTGGACCCCAAGCCGCCGACGTCCTTCTAAGGGCCGGGGCTCAGTGCGGTGCCAGTGGTCGAAAGGTTAAGACCCTGAGGTTCCCTCGGTCTGATGCCCATGTGAGGGCCAGGTCCGGACGGGCAAGTGGTCAGGGACCCACCGGATTAGCGGTGGGTCAGCCTCCCCTAGGTCTAGCCAGCCGGAGGGCTAGAGGAGTCAGAGTGACTGGGTACGATAGCCCGGAGGCTGTGGGTGAAAGGGGCCATTGCCCGTTTGTGTTAGGGTTTAAGTGTAAACTGTTTGGTATAATAAACCGTGTTGCCTCTACGACGACTCCGTCTCCCTACAAGAACATTACACATGTATATGTGTGCGTGTATTTATATTTATATATATCCGTCTGTGTGTATCTGTCTTTGTGTGGGTGTGTGTGCATCTGTAAGGCGTCATGCGGCAACCTGAGTTAGATTCACACTCACGTGAAGAGCAGTGGCCAATTCGTGAACCGGTCCTGGGGCCTCAGCTATGTCAACTCAGTATAAAATGAGTACAGTGACTCCTCTACTTACGAACATTCGACTTACAAACTTTCAGAGATACGAACAAACCTATCCGTATGTCCAGTTGCCCGTTCGGACTGACTCGTAAGTTTAACTGCCGTGCAATAGATGGCGGCGGTGGCATCTACATCTGCAGAACGTGAAGAACCAGTGGCATCTACATCTGCAGAACGTGAAGAACCAGTGGCATCTACATCTGCAGAACGTAAAGAACCAGTGGCATCTACATTTGCAGAACGTGAAGAACCAGTGGCATCTACATCTGCAAAACGTGAAGAACCAGTGGCATCTACATTTGCACAACGTGAATAATCAGTGGCATCTACATCTGCAGAACGTGAAGAACCAGTGGCATCTACATCTGCAGAACGTAAAGAACCAGTGGCATCTACATCTGCATAACGTGAAGAATCAGTGGCATCTACATCTGCACAACGTGAAGAATCAGTGGCATCTACATCTGCAGAACGTAAAGAACCAGTGGCATCTACATTTGCAGAACGTGAAGAACCAGTGGCATCTACATCTGCAAAACGTGAAGAACCAGTGGCATCTACATCTGCAGAACGTGAATAATCAGTGGCATCTACATCTGCACAACGTGTATTGTAAATCAGACCCAGCCCTACTGGACATCTGTGAAAAAGAGCTTCATAGCTCATCATATTTCTCCAGTCTAAATAAAGACTCTGAAGTCTTTCTCGATGTGTTTCCACGTGATATGCGCGTCTCCATCTGTATCCACACGTGTCTGTGTCTGTCTCTATGCGTGTCTGTGTGTCTCTACGCGTGTCTGTGTGTCTCTACGCGTGTCTGTGTGTCTCTACGCGTGTCTCTGTGTCTCCGCGTGATGCTGCCGCTGCACCGTGTCAATGGCGCCTTGCTCCACGCCCACCAGCGCCGCCCTGCGCATCTCCCCGGGGCCGTCCATGTAGAGCACGTGGCCGCCGTCGGCGAAGCAGGCGGTGCGAGCGGCCCTCAGGCCCAGCACGGGCAGCAGGGACACGCAGAGCAGCTGCGCCAGCGCCGGCAGCCTGCCGGGGGGGGGGGGGGGGTGGTCATGGCCCATGCCGTCACCAACAACGTGGCGACGATCGCCGGTACCGTCCACGTCGTCACCGCCACGTCCATCATCGTGGGCAGCAAAAACACTAAGAGCAAGGAGACCGGGGGCAGGGGGGGGATTTACCAACGTCATCATAATCCATGCCATCGCTACGGACATCATCACTACCGTCACCGCCGCCGCCGTTAGGCTCCACTACCGCCACCGTCGCCGCCGCCACCACGACTCACTGGAACACGGCGACGTTGCCGTCCACGCGCAGGCAGGCGAGGCGCGTCTCCCCATCCACGTCCACCGCGCTGGCCCTTATCGCCACCGGCGCGCCCCCGTCACACAGCGAGTGTTTGTACGACGCCTTGGCGCCCCACACGCGCGCCTGCCGCTCGGCGCATGCCAGCACCAGCCCGGCGCCGCCCGGCGCGCCCACAGCCTCTGCCGCCGCCGCCGCGCTGGCAAACTCGGCGAAGGATCCGGTGGAGCCGGAGCGGCGCTGCGCGGTGAAGGCCTTGGCGGCACCCTGCCACGACGAGCCGCCGGGCTCCAGTAGCCGGGCGTCACGGTCCAGGAGAGCGAGGCACAGCACGGGGCCACCCAGGGTCTTCACCTTCCCTGCAGCGGCGGTGGGAAGGTAAGGATGAGGAGGGGGGGGGGGAGGAGGGGGAGGAGGGGGAGGAGGACGAGGATGAGGAGCTCCTGCGTCACACTGTCTCACTGCGGCAGAGTCACTCTGCGGAGCATCGATGTTCAAACGACGTTCGGAAGCGCATCGGCCTCGACGGCCCAAGCCGGCTTCTGCTGCTGCTGCTGCGATGTGAAGCTGACCAGTTGTCAAAGCCCTTCACAACCGTCACACTTTTCTGTGACTTTTATAACAAATAAAAAGTGTGAAAACGGAAGGAAATCCTATATACCCACGCCGGTTCCCATCGGCTTGATACACGGTGTACGTAGCATTTTATATTCATTCACGTAATTTGTATATATATACTTTATACGTTTAGGATTCAGAGGAAAAAATTAAGGTTGTGAAAGAATTCACCAGCGAGCGGGCTTCACGTAGCAGTTGGTTTGGTAAGCCTGGGTGACGCGGCTGTGGATACCGAATGGATACTGAACTTCAGACTGCCATCGGTCACTCGCTTGGCAATGGAATAAATAAAAATGTTTTATTGCAAATACTCGGTCTGCCGCTTACGAGTGCAGCACCGAGCAGTGGCGAATGACGGTTGACGTTCCGTCGTGCGTGGCCGTGGTGGACCGTGGGCTTGAAACTAAAAAACCGCCGTCCGACGAGACGACAAAAACAACGACAGCGAACTCACGGTTTAGGCCGAGGACGGCCGGCTGGCTGGAGCGCCGATCCCCCCGCGGCGACTTCAGCGCGAGGCTGGCGACCTGTCCCCCTGCTGGTCGCCGCCCACACGTGGCCGGGGCGGGTGGCGCCGTTGGACTCGCCGAAGCAGAGGCGGCTCACGGCCAGCGGCTCGCGGTCGGCCGTGGCCTCCGACGGCGGCGGCGGCGGGCGCTCCTCCACGGCGGCGGCGGCGGCGGTGGGGCCCTCTGCTGTGGCGAGCGCCAAGTGGGATCGGGGGGGGGGGCGTGAAGAAGCTGTGCGCACGTTACGCGATTCTGATTTTCAGAAGTACTAAATAAAAAGCGTGGCAACGTTGTTGTGCGACGATTTTAGCACGGGTGGTTTTTTATTCGTCTTGCAGAATTTTCCAGTGAGGTGTGCGGAAAGAGAAACTATTATTTTGCGGGATAAGACGAGGCAGTCGCCCTTCCCACCCCCGACGTGTAGAGCCGAAAGCGGTTGGGCAAGCGCTGGCCCAGACGCCAGCTACAATCGACGCTCCCGAAGTCGTGATTCGAGAAAGCGTGCGAGAGACGTCGAGCGAGAGGCGATCACTGCGACAGCTTGCGGGGGGGGGGGGGGGGGGGGGGGGGGGAGACGAGGATGTCACGGAAGGGGAGCAAGGCGCGAGCAGCGGCATGTCTCGCGCATTTGTGCAATCGAATCCGAGGCTTCGCTTGCTTCAGAGTCACGGAGACCGGCAATGTTATATGTTATCCGATAGGAGTGAAGTGGGCGTACCTTTAGGGGACCCTGGTCTGCAGAAGTACTTTTTCTCCTCCCCTTCATGACTGCAAACCATCAGCACAGTGGGCGGCGGGGGGGAGAGAGGATCCGCGGCACTTCATGTACGCTAAAGTTGTTACGTACGCTAACGTTTGTATGTAAGCTGACGTTTGTATATAATTTGAAGTTATGTAAGATAACGCTAAAGTTGTGATGTACACTAAAGTTGTTATGTACACTATAGTTGTTATGCTCGCTAAAGTTGTTAAGCAGACAAGAGAAGGGGAGCTGTAAACTTTGAAACCAAAAAAGTCCGAATCATTTCAAAAGTGAATTAATGGGAGCCACTTCAAATGCGTGTTAATACAAATTAAATGACCCCACGCATCCCGATTGTTTTGGCCCACCCTGCGTGTAATGGGTTGTACCTTTCTCCATCATCACGCTCAGACGCCGCGGGGAGTACACTGGAAAGACACGCAGGGTCGCGAGGGTCACGCGGCGGGTCGCGAGGGTCACGCGGCGTGTCGCGAGGGTCACGCGGCGGGTCGCGAGGGTCACGCGGCGGGTCGCGAGGGTCACGTGGCGGGTCGCGAGGGTCACGCGGCGGGTCGCGAGGGTCACGCGGCGGGTCGCGAGGGTCACGTGGCGGGTCGCGAGGGTCACGCGGCGGGTCGCGAGGGTTACGCGGAGGGTCACGCGGCGGGTCGCGAGGGTCACGCGGCGGGTCGCGACTCCGGCAAGGCGGAGGGGGGTCGGCAAAAGGCTCGTGGTCTGCTCTGGCTGGCATGGTGCAGCCACGTGGTGGGATGGCGATGATGATGATGATGATGGTGCATTTATTACCATGGTGATGATGCCATGATTGATTAATGATGATTAATTGATTATAATCACGATGATGCAATGATGATGATTCATTGTCACGGTGATGATGGAATGATTGATGATGATAATGATTACGATGCATCGATGTTGACGACGATAGAGTCTCTGGATACAGACCTGGAGAAGATTTTGGATGGTCTTCTTCCAGTGAACCATCGGTGCTCTCTACAGAGCTCTCTGTAGGGAAATGTCATTCATTGTTAATGTATCGGCATCATCATCAGCAGCAGCAGGAGAATCAATAACATCACCCTGGCTAGCATTGTCACAACCATAACATGCATCGTCATCATCATTCAATGCTAAAGTGTCTCCCTCCTCAAATGGCCATTGGTGGACATTCCACATTGCCATGGCAGTAGCGGGTAGCCAGTCTGCTACCTGGACAGTTGCTGACTATTGGACAGAACTGATTATACCTACCAGTGGTTGCGTGCCGTGCTATGAACCCTGAATTCTGAGTTTGATTCCCGGCTAACATCGGTGATTGTTTGTTTTCTTAACAATATTGCATGACACGTTTTATTCCATTGCCGGTATTCTCGGTATTAAAAATGTTCCCTTTCAGACGGTGGTTAGTCTGCTTCTTATTCTTCTTAACCTGGGGGGTGCGCACCCCCTGGGGGTGCGAGATGCCCTTCCTAGGGGTGCGAGACATGGCCGGGTTTTTTTTAAGGTAAATCATCGAAACGAAAATTAAGCAACGGTAAAGTAAATACAACTACTTTGTTTCATCAAACCCTACGTATTTATTAACATATATATGTTTAACGATTTAGAATCAAAGTGATGCAAGGCTGCAGTAACGGTTAAGAACCACTGCTCTAAAACATGACGATCACGGCACACCATCACGAGTGGCACCACATGAAGTCACCAATTTTCATGTCGCTCATATTTCTGCTGACGTTGAAAATGTGGTTGGCAAGTCGCCACTGCTTCTTCTTGCATGCTTCAGTGGTCATCATAGTGCATGTGTAATAGTATTTCCGCATTTAAGTACACAGGAACATTTGCATTTTCTCGTGCTGTTATCTCCAAATGTATTTTAAGGTTTTTAACTTTGCCGCTTTCATTTCACCGGTGGCGAGCGATTGAACCGGGCCTGGGACCCCTCCGCCCCACGTGGACCAGCGTGGTGAAGTATGGCACAACAATCCCCGTGGCCCACGCGGCGTGGGGAGGCCTTCATCCAGCAGTGGATTGTGCATAATAAGCTGATAATTTATTTTAAATCGGCCAGGTGGTTCGGGAACAGATGCGATCAGCTCGCAATCGGAAGGTTGCAAAGTTCAATTCCTGGTTTGGACGTTGACTCAGCCCACCATCCCTCCGGTGGTTGATAAAATAAGTACCATTTTGTGGGGAAGCCAACAGTTTTTTCCTATGCGGAGACTCGCCCTCACAATAGGAAGGTGAAATTTCCACCACTGGCTCTGCAGGGCTCCAGACGAGAGATGAGCACCTACAGCTCGACGCTCATGAGCGGAAAATTACTCTGACTTTGTATTTATCGACTCCAGATGGATGGTGATGAGGTATTGAGTTGGCACTGCTTGTGATTGGAACTCGCGGCTGTGCGTGCGATGGCTAATTACCTCTGTTGGTATTGATCGGGGCATCTGTGCCTCCCAGCACAACAGACATGCTGAAGCTGGCCAGCACACTCTTCTGTTTGAAGTCCACCACCGTCACTCCGAAGTTGTGGCCTATTGCCACACTGTGAAAACACACAACCCCAGGTTATTAATGTAAAATTGCACTGCCAATAATTGAGTGAGTGAATACACACAAGTCTAACCTGAGTGCACACGTGACATTTACGATGATGATGATGATGCTTCTAATAATGATGCAACTCATGAATGATGATACGGTTCAAAGATGATGATGAGGAATCTCAAATGTATGAGGATGATGTTGAAGATTTAGTGATAATAAGAGATTGATGATCACACTGATGTCAGCTATCCGTAGAGGCTGATGATCTTCAAGGCGGTTGTGAAGATGATACATCTCAATGCATGAGGACGATGATCCATTCATGCCGAAGCTGTTGATACTGATGGTGGTGGTGGTGGTGATAGTGGTAATGGTAGTGATGGTGGTGGTAATGGTAGTGATGGTGGTGATGGTGGTGGTAATGGCAGTGGTGGTGGTGATGGTGGTGATGGTGGTGGTGATGGTGGTAATGGTAGTGATGGTGGTGGTGATAGTGGTAATGGTAGTGATGGTGGTGATGGTGGTAGTGGTGATGGTGGTTGTGGTGATGGTGGTGGTGATGGCGGTTGTGGTGATGGTGATGGTGGTAATGGTAGTGATGGTGGTGATGGTGGTAGTGGTGATGGTGGTTGTGGTGATGGTGGTGGTGATGGCGGTTGTGGTGATGGTGATGGTGGTAATGGTAGTGATGGTGGTGGTAATAGTAGTGATAGTGATGGTGGTAATGGCAGTGGTGGTGGTTGTGGTGATGGTGGTGGTGATGGCGGTTGTGGTGATGGTTGTGGTGATGGTAGTGGTAGTGATGGTAGTGGTAGTGATGGTAGTGGTAGTGATGGTCGTTGTGGTAGTGATGGTGGTTGTGGTAGTGATGGTGGTTGTGGTGATGGTGGTTGTGGTGGTGATGGTGGTCCACCCACAGGTTGTGCTCGGAGCACAGTCCCACGCTGGACACAGAAGCGGCGCTGCCGGCCCCAACGACTCGAACCACGGCCTCCAGCTGGTACCCAGCGGCCTGGCGCAGTGCACCCCTGCAGAGCCTGCAGAGTCACTCACAGAGAGTCACCCACAGAGTCACTCACAGAGAGTCACCCACAGACACACCCACAGAGACACCCACAGAGAGACACCAACAGAGTCACGCACACGGCACCGCTCCGGACTCCCCCTAGCGTGAAGCCCGTGACTGGTGACGTCTCCGCGAGCGACGCGCTCCCCACTCTCCGTGTTGGTGCCACCGGCGGCGTTTGTTGCCGACCTGAGACCGTCGACTTCGGAGCTCGGCCCCTCGTTGGAGTCGCCGCGCGACGTCGCCTGGCCGCATGGCGTGCCGTTCGGCTGCGGCGGCGGCGCGGGATCGGAGGCCGGCACGTCCGGGGAGTCATTGCGGCCGGGCCTTCCGACGTCTACAACCTGCGTGGGTGGCCACAGACCGATCGGCGGTCAACACGCGCAAGCGGGGGCGGGCCGCCAGCACGATGGGAGGGAGGGGAGCACGTAGATGTTTAGCGGAGCAGCACTCACGCCGATGGCGCCGTGCGCCTCGCGGTCGCGGAGCGCGTAGAGGAGCACGTGGGCGCAGGCGAGCGCCACGCACACCACGTGGCTCCGGCGGCACAGACACAGGTGCTGGATCGCGAGGCCACAGTCGCCGCCGCCCCCGCCGGTATCGGAGCGCGTCGAGTCCTCTCGCTCAAACACGGCCCCCGCGTCCACCTCCGCCAGCAGCGCCAGCGTGCCTGCTCCCGGCGCGGACGACACCCGCGGAAGGAAGGCTACAGCGGCACCATCGGGAACGCCGTTTTACAAATCAAGGGGAACGGCGGTTGAACGCGATCCACGCGGATGAGAGCGCACGGTCAGAGATCATCCCCCCACTTACCTCCCGATCCGTCCCAAATCTTCAGAGTTCCATCGGAGTGGCTTCGTGAGACATGTGAGACAGAGACAGACGTGCGGTGTTATTGTTCTTGCGAGTGTTGTTATCACCATGCACCGATGCACAATTACACGGGAGGCTACTCCGGTGCGTTTCTCGCGATGTTGACCCGCGTTGCTCGGAGCGAAGTCTGACGTTTTGCTCCACGCGCCGCTGGGAGCTTCTTCCGGAGCCACACTGGCAGCATACCACGTGTGGCGTGCCGGGCACGGAAACATTTTCACGGGTCGAAATGAAGCCCCCAAGGTGAAGCAAAAAGAATATCCAGACAGGCGCGATGCTGTCCCCACAGCTACGCCAACCACCGGTCCCACTGCCGGCTACCCTCGTCACGAGCGCCAACGACCCACGCAGCGAGTGCCGTCATGCTCCCAATCGAGGTGCGGTTAACGGGCGTCTCTACAACAGGTGAGAGTGCAGCAAAATAAATCCAACGTTGTGCTGCACTTCTACGGTCTAGCCGTCTGTGCCACACCCTCCGCCCTCAACCGACCCACACCAGACAAACGCTTGTCACGTGGGGTCAAGCTGACCCCTACGACCTGCACAGTCCGGGGGGGGGCAGGCCCCTCGTCCAGCAGTGGAGTGGCAACGGTCCGTACGTACGTACCGACGTGCGTGTGTGTGCGAGCGTGTTGTACTAGGCGAGCGGTAGTGTAGCGGTAAGCACGCTGCGCTATGAGCCCGGCGACCCGAGTTTGATTCCCGCTCACGCCCACCACCCACTGAAGATTATCTGAATCGGCCCCGCGCCTCCCCTAGGTCGACTCAGCCTCAAACGAGTACCTGGTTGGGGGATTGCTGGCCACCCCACCCCCCTCGTGCGCTCGATAACGCCACTTGCCCCAACAGTCGGTTAAGGCTATGTTGGGCGGTGGGGGGGGAGGTGATCTTTGTCTCTATCTCGAACAAACGGGGTGAAGGAGACCCGATGTCTCGTCTCACCCGGTGAGGATGGCCTCCGCAGATTCCGGCTTCTCCAGGCTGGGCTTGCCCCCACGTAGCGGCCACTGCAAGCGAAAAGAACGGCGCCCGTTTCATTCGGAGGCCTTTCACGAGATCGGTCGCATCTTGCGTCACGTCCAGTTTGGTTTTTGTTTTTTAACGACAGCGTTCCACCACCACCACTCTTGCAAACGAGACTGCACCCCGATCCCTTGAGTTCTCAATGGGGGCAAAAAATTTAAATAAAAACTTTCCACTTGACATTTAAACTCTCACGCACATCGCGTTTGGGTCTGTGACGTTCGCAGCCGCCGCACGGAAGCGGCCAAAACCACGGACGAGCGGGAGGGGAGGGAGGCAGCCAGAAGCGTCGCAACCGACGATTGCCCCAAGCTCTGGGGTCCTATGTCCCCCCCCCCCCCCCACCCCAGTAATCGTGGAGCCCTGGGGCCAACGCTGGGCACGCCGTTGGCACGCTCGCCGGGTTGGGGCGTCTGGCCAGCCCCATCGCCGCGGCGGCTCACCTGCCTGCCGACGCTCCTCTGCCGAGCCTTGGACCCACTGGCACTGCTAAGGGCGGCGAGGAAGTCCGGGGAGCAGGGGCAGCAGTACAGGCAGGCGGTGACATCCGGCCGCTGCAGCCTCAGGGAAGCCGGGCTCTCCAACACAGGGCAGCTGTGGGCAGCGGGGTGGGAGGAGGCAGCGCTTGCGATTAGCGACGTACTCAACACGTCCGTCAACAACACTGCGTGTGCATGTGTGCGCGTGTGTGTGTGCGCATGTGTGCGCGTGTGTGTGTGTGCATGTGTGCGTGTGTGTGCGCGTGTGTGTGTGTGCGGAGTGGATGGAGGCAGCCGCACCGGGGGGGCGGGGGAGGGGGGGGGAGTTAACTGCCACGCCGGGAGGTTGAACCGACCCGCTGGGGTGCTGACCACAGTTGACATTTACAGCCGGAGTTATTTCTCATTTTCGTCTCTTCCCTGAACCTCGTCAACGTCGCCACGGCGTCATCACCGGCCCAAGAGGAGGCCATTGGAAAAGCTCTCTCGCGCGACGGTCGCGATCCCTCGCGTTCAGGGAACGCTCCACACAAGTGGATATCACAGAGCTGCCTCGGGAATCCCTTCCCAGTGACCTTTGGTCGACATCGTGGAGGGGCTGCACTTCACCACCCCGGCCCCCGCCACCAACAGCAGGAGCGTTCATCATGTGACGCACGACAATTATACATCGATTTTTCGTTCTTTTCTCAGAGCTGAAATTTTAGCCAAATCAAAAGTGTAAAACGCTGCACTTGGGAATCGAAGCCAGGCTTTCAGCCCTATGACCCGAGTCTCCACAGCCACATCGGCGCATGTAGCATTGGTTTTTAGTCCATTCATCATTGCAGGCCCAGTGTGTACGATTACGTAACATTGTGTGTCGGTTATACAAATGTGTGTTTGGCTTAGTGCTATATCTGTGCGTGCGCGGGCATGTGTATGAATGTGCGTGCGTACGTACGCGTGTTAATAGTTCTCTGTGCACAACTGTACATATCTGGAAGTGCGTTCGCGTGCATGGTGAGGGGAGTGGTGGCCCACTGCGCTACCAACCCGGCGAACTGAATTGGATTCCCGCTCACGGCCAACACCAGTGACGATTATCGGAACAGGTCCTGGGCCTCCCCTGGGTCGACTCATCCTCAATTGAGTACCTGGTGCGGTGTGTAAACATCGCTACTCGGGAGGCAAAGGCGACCATGCGTGGTGCCGGCCACTCGCCCCCTCGTGTGCCATACCGGCCGACATAGGTGCTGCTCGCTAACAGCACTTGCCCCAAAAGTCTGTTCAGGACTATACGGGATGTTTGTCTTTGTTAATATATATCAGCGTGAGCCAAGTAGATGTTGGGACTGCACATTGTATATGGTTCCCAGCGGCAGACTTTGCAGCAGTGAGCATTGGTGCTGATATTGTGCTGATGAGTCCTAATGAGGACGAAACCGGTCTGCGGTGGTCATCTCTCTGTGTTGCTGCTGCCTTGTCAGCAGGTCACAATTTCCCAAATGTGTCTGACGGTGACCTAAGAGAAGACGGACCACGACTACTGTTGATGGACTTTTTTTATGTCGGCACAGCACACGTTTCTGCCAATTGTTTTGAAAACGGATTGTGTCTCCGTCCCGAGCTGCGCATTCGCCATCAGCGAGAGCTGATCAGCGTAGCGCAAGGAGGGGGGGGGGGGGTTCACCTTTCCTTCTCGAGATCGATCATCAGCAGCTCCTCCTCCAGGAGAACCGCCACCGCAAAGGGTTTCTGCAAATCTGCAACGCAAAGACGAACAACCCCCAGCGCAGCCTCCAGCGGACTGTCGGAGCAAGTGGGCAAGTGGGGTTCGTGAGAGCGGCACCCCGTGAAGACGCGGCACGGCACGCACAGGGGGTGGGCCTTGGCCAGCACCACGCTCGGCCGCGTTTTGTCTCCCCCGAGTGGCGACGTTCACTACACGCCGCACCGGGTACTCATTTTTAGGCTGAGTCGACCCAGCGGTGAGGCCCAAGACTGGTTCAGATAATCGTCACCGGTGTTGACCACGAGCGGTAATAGAAACCCGGGTCGCCGGGTTCGCAGCGCGGCGTGCTCACACAAGTGCACCCACCCACACACAACAAACAACAACAACAACCACCGTTCACCACGGAGCGGCGGTGACGTCACCACAGCGCTTGCTCCGTGCAAGGTGCACTCTGAGGACACGTGAAGTGTTGAAGGAGGTCACAGAACAGACCCAGGTGCCATGGGTCGACTGACCGAGATGACTGGCATATGCACCACCTGTGCTCCCCACTGTGCCAACTCGCTGCGTTTTAGCCGCCCCGTTACACACACGCACGCACAAACACGCGCGCACACACACGCGCACACACACACACGCGCAAACACACACGTGCACACACACACGTGCACACACACGTGGCGACCTCACCGCCAGCGTACGGGGAGTTGCTGAGCATCACAAAGTCCACGATGTCCGAATCCATGTCGGTGGTGTGGACGTTGCTGCCGCAGACGATGAAGATGCTCCTCTGGGCACCGCTGGTCTCTGCCGAGCTCCCCGTGAACACGACCACTGACTCCCTGGTGAACACAATCACCGACTCCCTGGTGAACACGACCACCGACTCCCAGGTGAACACGACCATCAACTCCCCGGTGAACACGACCATCAACTCCCCGGTGAACACGACCATCGACTCCCCGGTGAACACAATCACAGACTCCCCGGTGAACACAATCACAGACTCCCTGGTGAACACGACCATCAACTCCCCGGTGAACACGACCATCAACTCCCCGGTGAACACGACCATCAACTCCCTGGTGAACACAATCACAGACTCCCTGGTGAACACGACCATCAACTCCCCGGTGAACACGACCATCAACTCCCCGGTGAACATGACCATCAACTCCCTGGTGAACACAATCACAGACTCCCTGGTGAACACGACCATCAACTCCCTGGTGAACACGACCATCAACTCCCTGGTGAACACGACCATCAACTCCCTGGTGAACACGACCATCAACTCCCCGGTGAACACGACCATCAACTCCCCGGTGAACACGACCATCAACTCCCTGGTGAACACGACCATCAACTCCCCGGTGAACACGACCATCAACTCCCCGGTGAACACGACCATCAACTCCCTGGTGAACACAATCACAGACTCCCTGGTGAACACGACCATCAACTCCCTGGTGAACACGACCATCAACTCCCTGGTGAACACGACCATCAACTCCCTGGTGAACACGACCACCGACTCCCTGGTGAACACGACCATCAACTCCCCGTGAACACGACCGACCATCAACTCCCCGTGAACACAATCACAGACTCCCTGGTGAACACGACCATCGACTCCCCGTGAACACGACCATCAACTCCCTGGTGAACACAATCATCAACTCCCTGGTGAACACAATCATCAACTCCCTGGTGAACACAATCACCGACTCCCTGGTGAACACGACCATCAACTCCCTGGTGAACACAATCACCGACTCCCCGTGAACACAATCACAGACTTCCTCGTGAACATGACCATCAACTCCCCGTGAACACAATCATCAACTCCCTGGTGAACACAATCACCGACTCCCTGGTGAACACAATCACAGACTTCCTCGTGAACATGACCATCAACTCCCCGTGAACACAATCATCAACTCCCTGGTGAACACAATCACCGACTCCCCGTGAACACAATCACAGACTTCCTCGTGAACATGACCATCAACTCCCCGTGAACACAATCATCAACTCCCCGTGAACACAATCACCAACTCCCTGGTGAACACAATCACCGACTCCCCGCGAACACGAACGTTCGCCTCCCGAACGCTCGTTAGGCAAAGCGGCCGCGATCGGCTGCCATGGAACCGCGAGTGCGATCCACACACGGAGACTCGGCCTCGAAGCGCTCCTCTGGCGATGATTTGTTGATGAAGCAGCCACGTCCACGCAGGCAGTTACACGCGCGGTATTGAGCCGGCGCACCTGAGCTGGAGCCAAGCCCGAGCCGAGCCGCGGCTACAATGAGAGACTCCGGGTGTGGTGGCCCACACTCACCCAGACGCACAGCTCCTGTGGTCAACCTTCATGATAGGGCCGCTCCACTCGGCATCTTGATGGAAGGGAGACACACGAAGCAACGGCCAGTTCACTCACTCCCCTGTAGCGACTTAGACAGACGCACAACACGCAGTGATTTAACACACCGTGATATAACACACCGTGATTTAACACACAGTGTTTTACCACACCGTGATTTAACACAGTGATTTAACACACCGTGTTTTACCACACCGTGATTTAACACACCGTGATTTAACACACCGTGATTTAACACACCATGATTTAACACAGTGATTTAACACACTGTTTTACCACACCGTGATTTAACACACCGTGATTTAACACACCATGATTTAACACAGTGATTTAACACACCGTGTTTTACCACACCGTGATTTAACACAGTGATTTAACACACCATGTTTTACCACACCGTGTTTTACCACACCGTGATTCAACACACCGTGATTCAACACACCGTGATTTAACACAGTGATTTAACACACCGTGTTTTACCACACCGTGATTTAGCACAGTGATTCAACACACCGTGATTCAACACACCGTGATTTAACACAGTGATTTAACACACCGTGTTTAACCACACCGTGATTTAGCACAGTGATTCAACACACCGTGATTCAACACACCGTGATTTAACACAGTGATTTAACACACCGTGATTTAACACACCGTGATTTAACACACCGTGATTTAACACACCGTGATTTAACACACCGTGATTTAACAAACCGTGATTTAACACACCGTGATTTAACACACCGTGATTTAACAAACCGTGATTTAACACACCGTGATTTAACACACCGTGATTTAACACACACATGCACAGTCTAACATGTGGTTTTTCGCGACACACCGGTGGGCTGAAGCAGTAAACTAATTGGCGCGTTGTTTACATGACACACCTTACTGGCTGTGTTGGGTGGTGGAGGGTTACGACACATTTATACTTACGCGATCTAACCCCACAACCTTTATTATGCACAGAGATCCTCCGTGTAGCCTTAACAGACTGTAGGGGCAAGTGCTGTTAGCGAGCACCTATGAAGGCCAGCACGGCACACGAGGGGGTGGGTGGCTAGCACCACGTCCGACCGCCTTTGTCTCCCCAGTAGCAATGTTTACTACACACCGCACCAGATACTCATTTGAGGCGGAATCGACCTCGAGGAGGCCCATGAGCAGTTCAGATAATCGTCACTGGTGTTGGCCATGAGCAGGAATCGAACCCAGGTCGCCGGGTTCATAGCGCAGCGTAGCGCAGTGCGCTAACCGCTACACTACCGCTCCCCACTACTTATTATGAACACACACACATGCACATGTACCCACATGCACATGCACGCAAAGACACCGGGGGTATGTACCATGTGGCATGGTTAGGCAGCCGAGTTTTCTGGGATTCCGCAAGCTCCAGGTGCCAACGGTGCCATCCTCCAACCCGCACACCACCTGCTCCCCATTGCTCTGCCAAGCCATCGAGTGCAGGTCCTGTGGCACAGGTGAACACACGCAGGTGAAACGAACCGCACGCGCTCGTAGAAGGCATCTCGAGTCCACTCCACGCTGGTTTCCGTCTCCACGTTTTGGAGCCAACCTTTCAAATCAATGGTTGTTAACCTGGGGTGCACGCACCCCCTGGATAACGTGAGATGCCCTTTCTGGGGGTACGAGACATACAGAAAGGGTAGCAAATACATCAACATTCTGATTGTGGTAATCAATAAAACTAAATTGGCAGTCTGAGTGTTTAACCAAGTAGAAGATGGTCTCCAGAACAACAACTTAAGAAGCCACCACAACGGTCCCCTCCAGGGCCAGGCGACTCGCCAGATAGATCCTCTAGCTCAGTGCTTCTGAACCTGGAATGTGTGCACCCACTGGGGTTGCGAGATGCTCTCTCTGGGGGTGCGAGACGTGGCCAGAGTTTTTTAGAAGGTAAATCATCAAAAACACAAATTAAGCACGGGCACGTCAGTACAACTACTTTGTTTCATCAAACCTCAGTATTTATTAACATTGTACTTTTTTTACGATTGCAGTAAAGGTTAAGAACCACTCATTTAAATCGACGTGGACAATTTTTGAAATCTGGGAAAGTCCCGAACAGCCAACGCCGCTTTACACCGGATCGTTGTCTTGGCGAGAGTCATCATGATCCCCGCTCGTTACGGATGTACTGAGGGAGGGGACCCATCGGCGCTCTCCGCCTGCGTTGGACGGAGCGTGAAGAGCGCTCCTCTCGAGGCGAGCCCCCACTACCTTGTGTATAACCGGCGCCGTAGAGGGTACCTGGTCACAGTCGTATCTGTAGTGAGGCTTCCGTGACTTGATATCCCACAGCACAATGATCCCGGTCTCATAACCTACGAGAAGCTGAACACGCACCGAGGTTAGCAACGCGGCCGCCGCCGCCGCCGCTGCTACTGCGACTTCTCACAGCCGCCGCCACCGCCGCTCTGGTGTTTGCCTCCCACGCGCACGTCGCTCGGCACGGCAATGCCCGACGTTTCGCTCCCCGCACCGCTTTTGTGGCAGTTTCTTCGGGAAGCGAAAGTGGGCGCTCTGCCCCGTTCGATTCCTGGAAGGAGCCCCCGGCACGTGCCGGCAAAACGTCGGGACACCGTGCCGAAGAGCCAGCGCGGTACGACAGGAAAATGCAACGGAGCGCTATTGAGGGTGGCGACTCCACATTCGGGTCGACAAGTAGGTGTATGTCCAACAACAATGACAACGACACCTTACGTGTGTAACGTAACTAACATCTCTCAGTGTAGAGTTACGCGCGTAGGCCATTCAGTCGCCGGCGTCACGGCCTAAATTCGCCAAGTGTTGAAAATGTCACCCGCGAAAAGATATTCAGTGGCAATAACCACAGCGATCATCGGCCCCCTGCTGTGCACGCACCTCCTGAAAAAGAGCCGTGGGACTCGTCGAGACCTTTCTGGGTAACCAAGCAGAGTGAAGCAAGCGAGGAGCCGGAGGGAGCAACGTCACTCCGATTCAAATGCAAACCCGTTCAACGTCCGACGTGAACTCAACGCTAAAGATCGCGACTCGTCGTTCATCGCATGTGGGGTGATGATCTGGGAGACCCTCCACCACCCGACACGGCCAGAGCCGTTGAGTTGTCGCAAACCAATCTCACGAATCACACGGCACGGCGTTTCGCTGGAAGCTACGCTGAGCCACTTTAGAAGGGGGATCCAGGAAAGTCGGAATAAAATCCATGAAGTAAAATTATGATTGCAATGTTGTTAAATGCTTGTGCACCACGTGACAATTTCGTTTCTCTGGTTGCATAGGATGGCGGAGGGCCTTACAACACAAATCTGGTCGGATCATTACCTGGCCCTAACCCAACACTCGATTAGTCGATGTCATCCATGCGTAACGACGATTACCTTGTCTTCATCGAGAGGATTCTCGCTGATGTGAATCACGTCTCCAGGATGAGAAGGCCTAAAATCAAAGACGATCTTATTAATATGTTATTGTCAACAACAGCCATCATCTACCCACTGCTGGATGAAGATTTCCCCCCCCCACCCCACGCCATCACCATCTCTCACAGTCCCACGATGCCGCCACCACCACCACCACCCTGTGGCGTGTATGCCGAGCGACGCGCGTATCACTCCGCCACAGCCACTTCGGGCGAACGACGACGAGCCCGCGAGCGGACGTCGTACTCACCCCGCGGCGTCGTTCCACATGATGCTGTACTGGGACTGCGCGAAGCTCTCCACGGCGACCACGTGCACGTTGCCCTTGGCTGTGCCCACGTACAGCCACTTGCTCCGGAACGGCAGGTGGCTGCTCGTGATGCTGAAACGCAACGACGCGGACGCGGCCGCTGTCAGGGTCGTGCGGGCGAGCTTCCAAGTGAATCCATGGTCGTTGAAAATAAATCTCTCGAGTGGCCTCGGGTAGGCTCTCTCCCGGAAACGAGGGGACGAGCCGCGTATGACGCGATGGGTCCAGCGGGAGCGCGTTCGCCGCTCGTTGCAGAGGGTATGAGGTGCGACTCTGGCAGGCTGCCCCGGTCAATTGCCCCTTAAAGTGCCCAACGGCCATCTTTGCTACGCAGTGGACGTTACAAAGATCCCGTGACCGTCGTTCTGAGTAGGCCATTGCTTGTCGGGGCGTCAGGGTCCACGTATTTTTCCGAATTAGAAAATGACACCACAAATTACTCAGTTGTGATTTAGATAAAGATTCCCCCGTATAACCTTAACAGACTGTTGGGGCGAGTGCTGTTAGTAACCACCTATGAAGGCCAGCATGGCACACGAGGGGGTGTGGGTGGCCAACACCATTCCCCAGTGGCGATGTTTACACATCGCACCAGGTACTCATTTTAGGGCCGAGTCGACCTGGGGGAGGCCCAGGACTGGTTCAGATAATCGTCACCGGTGTTGACCATGAGCGGGAATCAAACTCGGGTCACCAGGTTCGTTGCACAGCGCGCTAACCGCTCCACGACACGCATTAGCAGCAGCAATCATTGCCTCAGAACTGGCAGAATAATTCCCGATTGTAGGGCCTGGTGCCAAGTCATCATGTGCTGCCACTGGGGGTACCCTTAGAAATGTTTAAACTATAAAAAACTATAAACTGTTCTTTATTTTACCCGGTAAGGCCCTACTGGTCTATGTAGCTCTGTTTCAGAAGCGACTGGGCTCTCACAAATGACAGCTCAATGAGGTGGCTCACCATCGCGTGGACATTTATAGCAGCCAAATGTTCTAAACGCGTCACGTTGATTCTAATTGTGGAGGGGGAAAACCGGAGGATCCGGAGAAAAAGGGCAGAACACGCAAACTTCAAATATACAGCAGGCATCAGGGTCGGGATCGAACCCACGATCCCCTGTACACCAGGCGAGGTAGTCAACATCTCACCACCGTTTGAGATGCGATGTAAGTTGCTCTGAGGACACCACAGCACGTGCCATGCCCCGGCCTTCATAGGTGCCCGCCAACAGGACTTGTCCCGATAGTCTGTTTAGAGGCTACCTGGGGTATCGTTGTCCGTGTTACCCGTCGGTGTTGAGCCTCACCTTGCCTTGGGCTCCAGCGTGATCGAGTGGACCAGGACCGGATTGTGTTGTCGCAGACTCCACATGTGCAGCTTGTCATCGGAACACACGCTAACCAGCACTCCCTGAGACACACAACACAGATCCCCCGTATAGCCTTCACAGACTGTTGGGGCAAGTGCTGTTAGCGAGCAGCACCTATGAAGGCCGGCACGGCACACGAGGGGGTGGGTGGCCACACAAACACAGCCACTGCACACAGAGATACATTACACATACTATATATATTACACACACATAGTAGATACAGATGCACAGATACACGTATAGACTCGTATAATAGTGTACAGCCGTTGTGGATGGCCGGATTTAGACTTGCCGCGGATGGCAAACAAACACAATGGGCGTGGCTCCGTCGGTACGCGGGGCAGGTGCTCGCAGCGACGTCCTCGCCGTATGCTGGGATCCCCCACAGCCCCTCCCCTCAGGGGGGAGAGGGCTATTTAAGGCGGTGAGCCGAAGGGCTCGGGGTCTAGTGTGTTAACCAGTGAAGAAAGAAGACCAGCTAGACCGGCCCTGGAACTCTCTGGGATCGCTGTCCTTTTAAGGACCGACCAGGCAAGCCAGCGGCGTGGCCCCCAGTGCCCAGAACCGACGCTCTTCTAAGAGCGGGGTCTGGGTATTCGGGGTGCCGTAACCTAGGTGTAAGCTAGCTGTGAGCTGTTGTGTTCCGTAGCTAGACGGGTGAAGGGGCCGATACCCCTTCAGTTACTGCAAGCTTCCGAGTTACGTGCTGGTGTTAATAAATAAGCGTGTGCCTCCAACTACGTGTCAAGTCTCCCTGGAACCATACTACAATAGCAGAGATACACACTCCCACAGATGCACACACAGATACAAAGACAAAGATCTCCCGTATAGCCTTACCCAAACTGTTGGGGCAAGTGCTGTTAACGAGCACCTCTTGAAGGCTAGAACGGTACACGAGGGGGTAAGTGGCCAGCACCACGCCCGGCCGCCTTTGTCTCCCCATTGGCGATGTTTACACACCGCACCAGGTACTCATTTGAGGCCGAGTCGACCTAGGGGAGGCCCAAGACCGGTTCAGATAATCGTCACTGATTTTGGCCGTGAGCGGGAATCGAACTCGGGTCGCCAGGTAAGTGCAGCGTAGCGCTAACCACTACTCTAGCGCTGCCCCAACACACAGATACAAATACAGTCACATGATGTACACACAGATACAAACACAGCCACATGGTGTACACACACAGATACAAACACAGCCACATGGTGTACACACACAGATACAAACACAGCCACATGGTGTACACACACAGATACAAACACAGACACATGGTGTACCCGCGGGACCAGGAGTTTAACCTTGCGCCCTGCGAATGGTCGCACCGTTCATGAACCGCCGGTCCGAGCCGGATCCTGATGCGGCCGAGCGAGGCCGGCTCTCGACGGTTTGGTTTTCTGGCTCGGCACGGCAAAAAGAACAGGTCGGTGGAAAAAAAATAAACACCCGACCCGTAGTAGGCAGTACCGGCTTATCCTAGTAGCAAAAGTAGCTACATATGCAACAGGCCCCGCACTAGCTTCATCCGCCACTGGGAGTAGGGCGAGGGTGCCGCGCGGGCACGGCTCGGCACGGCTCGGATGCGGCAGAGGGGCTCACCTCGTTGACGAGGAAGTGCAGCTGAAGGACCCCGGCCTGCGACTCGTGCTCGCAGAACCTCTCCACGCCTGGTTGGCCGAAGCTGAGTAAGCGGTTAAGGCGGCAAGCATCATGATCAGCAGCAGCATCATGATCAGCAGCAGCATCATAAGAAGCAGCATCACCATCATCAGCACCATCAGTAGCAGCATCATCATAATCGGTATGGCGGTGATGCAGCCTAGCGGTTGCAGAGCGTCCCAGTGGGTGTGAAGGATGAATGGCGAGAGTCGGCTGTCGTATAATGCCGTCATGGTCAACTGATTTTCTTTTTCTCCACCACTCGGTGGTGGATGGCTTCCAGCTCTGGCTAACATTACACCCATGCGGCCTGCCTCCCACCCCGACCCTGCCCCTCGCAATAAGCCTCTCACCCTCACAGAGACCCGTTGTGAAGCGTTTCGCTGGTGAAAGCCTCCGTATGAAATGAGCGACCAAGAGGCGGAGGGGTTTGTCGTTTTTGTTCAGAACAGCGCCGATCTCCCTTTGTGAACAGAAGAACCATGGACCGCTCTTGATTCCACGCTCGAGGGATTTCGTTCCTGCACCTGGCGCGAGACGTGAAGGACGAGCTGGTGGCGGTGATCGACCTCTCTCGGGACGATGCTCAACAAGTTGCCAAGGACAGGAAGAAGTGGAGGGGAACTCATTGTGGCTTTACATTCCATAGAGGATGAATAGGATTCACCATCGAACTAATAAAAGTTGAGTGAATGTTGTCGCAACTGCTGGTCCCCGCTTCCTTTGATGGTGTCCAGAATCATCCCGTCTGGTCCGGGAGGCTTCTTCCCCCATTGTATCCCTCTGTCGAAGGGCAGAGTTGACGACTTATACACATCTCACGTCTGCAGCCTTCCTTCTCCTCTCCCGAGTCCGTGTGGGTCGCTCCCAGGGTTCCCAGTTTTCTGGTTGCGTTCGCTTTGTTGGGCGTCATCGGTTTTGTTCATCCCTTCATCTATTTTCAGTCTGTTCGTCAAGTGATGCGGCCATGGTTGTTTCGCGCGTTGCCGACCGGCTCCCCGATTCCGGTAGTGGGCGATGCACACGGTACCGACACTCGTGGAATGCCTCGCGCACGGCGCGACTGCGATCGTAGCGAAGAGTCGTCATGGACGCCCTTGGAATAGCAGAGACGGGCAGCTCTTCGGGCACCTTCCCGCCGAAATAAACCGAATCCAATCTTTGGGTCTACGCATCGCGAGAACCAACAGCAACACCGGCCCCGACCGGCAGACGGCGAACGCCCGCTCGCAGGCCAGGGCGGCGCGGCCACCTGGTGCCCGTGCCGCTCCGTGCGCACCACGAGGCCTCCTGCCAATCCACCGCCGGGACAAGGATCTTCCAAATGCCACGTCGCTCACGAGGGTCGCTCCTCCACGCTCCGCCACGCGGGTCAACGCGGGGCACCCAGGGCCCGTTCTGAGACTGCTCGCGACCGACGTCGGCCGCGGCCGGAATGGGACTCGAGGCACCGGGCTCTCAAGTGCGGAGCGACTCGGGCTGCCGCCTCCAGCGCCCCCCCCCCCCCCCCGCCAGCCACGCGGCTCTTTGGTAGAGCGAGAGAGCAGCTCGCAATCGGAAGGTCACGAGATAAAGTCCCAGTTGCGGGAGTTAACTAAGCCCATCATACATCCCGGGGTCAATAAACGTAGTACCACTTTGTGGGAAAGTCAACAGCGGTAGTCAGGCTATAAGTTGGCCACCCAACCACAAGAATTTGGAATTTGCTCAATTGAGCAAGAAATCTCATGGACGCCTCTGCTTTGCGCCATGACCCCGTCTCACACCCCCCCCCCCTCTCTCTCCCCCCTCACCTCAACCGCGGAGTCAGGTAGCCACCCTGCCTGTGTTAAATGTTGGTCATTCTTCTTTCGTAATGCACGGTGACATTTGCAACGTTATCTGTGTGGATATCGAGGATACCGAGGCATTTGGTAGCCTCTGTGGAGGCTGGGTGGACGTCCGTGAAATTGCCGACGAATCGGTAGTGCGGTGGACAGGGTGGGGTCACGCGACCCGCGGTGTGGGTGCCGTGGGCAGGGGTGGGGTCACGCGACCCGCGGTGTGTGTGCAGGCCCTGGTGTTGGCGCGTGCGAGGATACACGCAGAGCGAGCCGGAGCGAGTGCCCACCGCGAGCAGCCGCTGCACCGGGTCGTACGCCACGCACGACAGGTGGCATGGGAAGCCGCTGCGCAGCGTCTGTGGGGAGCCGTGGCAAAAACCGTGAGCGCGGCGGCGCCGGCGATCGCTGACGATCGTGGTGGTGGTGGTGCTCACTGTGTCATGGCGACTGTTAGTGCAAGCAATTTCCCGAGCTCTGCGGTCCTCAATATATTAAGATGGTTTTCAGCCACTTAATGAGTGTTCACATGTGGGAGGAAAGCAGAGCACCGAGAGAATTCCCGCACGTGCGAGGGGACGACACTCTCTCCCACACATTGACAGTCCCCTGTGTCGACCGAGCCTCAAATGAGTACCTGGTGCGGTGTGTAAACATCGCGGCCGGGCGTGGTGCAGGCCACCCACCCCCTCGTGCATGCCGTGCCCCCCTTTACAAGTGCTAACCGCCAACAGCACTCTCGCCGAAGGTCTGTTGAGGCTACACGGGGGATCTTAGTTCATAACGACGGTGAGGATGGTGCCGCTCTGCAGTTGGGCGCGTGAGTCAGCGATTGCGGACCGGGACCTTTATCTTTGGCTCACGAGAAAAAAGCAAACAAACCAGAGATTATGTCATTTATATGCAAAAGCATGAGCACTCGTGCATTTCTGAGTGCAGGAAGAGCTGATCTTATTTTTAAATGCCCACGGTTATCACGATTTACAGTTGTATTGCTCATGTGTGGCCGGGTTCAAGTGTTTGGAGACCATAAATCACACACGGCCATTTCTCACTCTAGGGCTGTTCGTGTCTCTGTCCCTCTGCTGCTGCTGTTTACTCGGCAAACATGGAACAACGGACCCCTTAAATCATGGCGCATGCCATAAACCAAAACACGATCGTCGATAGAGCTGATTTCGCGCACCTACCACTCACTCGCACACGCACACGGATAACGCACAGAGATCGTCGAGGACCCGACGCCTTCCCTTTGGCACGATCACGTTTGTGCCTGCCGCCTATTTTAAAAGGGGGCCTAGCAATATATTTGAATTTCGATTTAAAGCTTTCGTGACTGCAGGGATTCATCTTCTTGTTTCTTTCGGTAAAGTCACGTAGAAGGGAAGTAATAAAATAATAAAAATAAAACATAATAAAACAATTCTCACGACGTTTCGGCTACAACGCAAGCAGCCGTCTTCAGGTGAAGAATGAGACACTACCAAACTAGGAGCTTATATATAAGCTGCATTGGGGGTTGAAGAGCGCCTTAACAAAAAGAATGTGCATGTGAAGAGGGATTTAGCATATTCATGGAAAATGCGTAGGCGTTGGGCGGGGGGGTGTCAAAGTCATATTATGCCCATGCATTATGCAGGATCAGCAGCAACCAAGGGGGGTGCAGGGATTAGCAGTAACAAAGGAAAGGAATGTTAATGATATGTAGCTGCAGTTACTCAACAACCACGTAGAAAACTAAAGTATAAACTACATAAAAAACTAAAGTATAAACTGCATCGCACCATCAGTATACTTACTATACTCTATAATAAGCTGAGTTACTAACAGCAAGTAATACATTACAATTTTACCTCGTAAAAATTATATAATATGCTTCCATCTAAACCTTATTCTCTTACATCACACGAGCATATACCGTACTATATACTGCCATAGATAAACCCAACATTAAATTATATACTGTATTGCTGTAAACCAACCTATATCTTATACATTTAATATCACACTATGTATTATTCTACACACCCTAATGTGTATCGAAATGGTTTATTACGTCCTTCCAATGATTGCTGAGCCAGAATCCATCTTCTCGGTTAAAGTTGTCTCTGTGTTTGTATATGTGGATCGCCTCATGAACGAATCTCTCATGATAGCCAGATGGCTTGCAGAGAACCTCTGTCTTGGAGAAGTCAATATCATGTGAGCCCACTGAGTTGTAACAGTGATCTGCCACGGCTGAGGTGTTAGTCCTACCGTGTTTCAGGTCAGCTTTATGTTCACGGATGCGGTCCGAGACATGTCGTTTGGTTTCCCCAATGTAACTGCTACCACAGAGGCAACTTAGTTTGTAGACGCCAGGGTACTGTATGTCTGGAACCACATCTTTTACAGACGGTACCAGATCACGGATTTTATGTACTGTGTTGAATCGGACCTGGATCTTGTGTTTAATCACCCCCCTTGGTTGCTGCTGATCCTGCATAATGCATGGGCATAATATGACTTTGACACCCCCCCGCCCAACGCCTACGCATTTTCCATGAATATGCTAAATCCCTCTTCACATGCACATTCTTTTTGTTAAGGCGCTCTTCAACCCCCAATGCAGCTTATATATAAGCTCCTAGTTTGGTAGTGTCTCATTCTTCACCTGAAGACGGCTGCTTGCGTTGTAGCCGAAACGTCGTGAGAATTGTTTTATTATGTTTTATTTTTATTATTTTATTACTTCCCTTCTACGTGACTTTACCGAAAGAAACAAGAAGAAAAAATATATTTGAAGCCCACAAAGTACCGCAGTCGATCGATGGAGCGTCTCGCATCTCCGCTGAGCTCATCCCGCGCGATTAGTCGCACAGAAGCCATTGCTGCAGGCGCCATCTTCATCGTCATCATCATTGTCATCACCGTTGGCTTTTATCGCGCTTTGTCTGCATTCTATGTATGGTGCGAGTGCAGTTGTTAATGTTGTATGGTTGGACTTCTTTCGCACTGTACGTAGCCATACACGAGCTACTGTATTTATATTTATATTGGAGACCCAGACCCAGGACTCGAACCCAGCTTCCCAGCAGCGCTGTCTCAGTGGTCCTGACATGACCATTGAGCCATCTGAGAGAGAGCAAGACACACCCAGACCCAGGGCTCGAACCCAGGTTCTCAGCAGTGTTGTCTTAGTGGTCCTGACATGACCATTATGAACTCCTGTAAGGTGCACATTTCACAGCACCGAAATCGCTCGGCTTGTAATAGCTGCCCCCCGGATGAGGCAGCTGAATGTTTATAGAAAGTGACGCGGGCCCCGTGAGCGGAGCGAATCGCTCGCACGTCGCTTGCAGTAATAACCACGCAGCTCGTCACGAGCATCGGCGGCCCAACAGGTCGGCGTCGGTTTTCCTTACGAAGGTCTGTTTTAACAGGTTACCGTGGCAGCCCACTTAAATATAGGTCCGGTGACATTTAACAACATTAACATTTAATTATATGCCTCGGGTTTCGGCGTCAGGTTTGTTCATAATGGGCCATGTCACCGTCGACTGGGCTAAGAGCATCCACATTCGCCGACTCCACGGGGGAAACGAAGCTGGTGTCCAACTTCCTGGGACCGACCAAAGGTGACTCTCGGCGTTACTTGATTGGTGGCTCCGACGCGGCCATTGTGACACCTCCCCCACCCTCTCCCAGATCACTTCAATGGAATTTCAGTGAGGAGTCATCGGATTCATCTTGCCAGTCCACCATCAACACCACAACCACCGCCACCATCAACACCACCACCACAAACACCATCAACACCATCTTCGCCACCACCACCATCAAGACCACCACTACAACCACCATCAACACCATCAACCTCTATTATGGACCATCACCACCATCAACAACCACCACCCCAACCATCGTCACCACCACCACAACCACTGCTACCATCAAAACCATCTTCACCACCATCAACACCACAACCATAATCACCACCACCATCGTCACCTCCACCAACACCACAACCACAATCACCACCATCGTCACCACCACCGCCACCACCAAGACCGCCGCCACCACCACAACCACTGCCACCATCAACACCATCATCGCCATTGCCAACCCCGTCGCCAACACCATCAACACCACCATCATCACCACTCCAGAGCTAATGGAACGAAGAGTAGTAGTATTTTGTGGAAAATCAACATTGCTTTTCTTCTGCATGTAACTGGCCCCTGCCGTGGTAATGTGTAATTTTCTCCCCTACGCAGGTTAGGGGCGTGAGCCCCTAACCGCAACCTGCCCCGGAGTCGTGAATTGCGCCACAACATTTGTGCACCAATCTCAACGCAGCAGCATCACCAGAATAATTTGTGGGATTTAATAAAACTAACTGACACTGGCAATCGAACCGATTTCACCGCTCCATCTCCTCTAAAATGCGTTCCACTCCCTTGGCTGTCTCCCCGTCAATTATTATTCATCACTTCCAGTCCAAACACTTTTAATTACACTTTAAATCATCAAACTCAGCACATTCCACAAAAACACTGTAGCCTTGAAACGGAATATATATATTTTCCTAAACTAAATTATGTTTTATTTTACCAGGTAAGGCTCACGGACATATCTAGCTCCTTTTCAGAAGCGACCTGGCAATCACAAATGATAGCTCAACGAGGTGGGTCACCATCGCGTAGACATTTACAGCCGCCAAATACTCTAACGCAGAGAAATCCACGCGACCGCGGGAAGAGAGACACGCAAACTCCATAAATATACAGCAGCAGCAGGCGTCAGGGTCGGGATTGAACCCGCGACCTCCTGTGTACCAGACGAGGTAGGTAACATCTCGCTAGCATGGCGCCCATCAATATTAGACATTCATGTGTCACGTGTTGTGGCAATGGCCCTGCGAAAACGCCCCACTGCCCACGCAGTACAAACCAATTACTATTATTATTACACGCTTTTATTTAACTCACTCCGTCTGTTGTATCCTCAAAAAAAAAAATCTTGTAACTAAATTTTTACCCACTTTCCAATGTGCTAACTTGAAATACCTATGTCATACTGATGACAATACTATATTCTATCATAAAAAATCCAAAAATATATTTGTAAACATTTTGCACGCTTTTATTTATCCTAAAATCTTGTAACTCAATTTCAACCGTATTCTCAATGTCGTATCGACTGCAAACTTGGTATAGGTATGTCATACTGATGACAATACTATATTCTAAAATTGAAAATAAAAAATAAATATTTTTAAACAATCTTTTTTACGGCTCTAATTGTTGACGCTCAACTCACGTTGCCTGTCAATCACCACGGTCCCTTACGTCACGACCAGCCTCGGGGAGCCACGCCGAGGGGCGGGGGATGTGGAAGAAGGGGAGGGGCGATGGGGGAAGGAGGCAGGGGGAGGGGCAGCTCGGACAGTAAATTTCATTAAAGCGTATTTTTAAAAGTATTTTTAAATATTTTACTTGTTTAAATTCACCATATCATATCATTAAGGCAAATGCATGCGCCTACGTGAGTAGTCATAAATGGGTAACATTTACATTAATTACACAAACATATCCCTCTTCAAACAAGGGTGGCGCGGTGCTCATCCCCACTGACAGACAGTGGTGGAAATTCCTCATTCCTATGGCGGTCGCCACTCTTCACGTAGAACAACTGGAACTTCGCCCGAAAATACTGGTTGATGTAATTAATTACCAGCGAAACGTCGTACTACTCAAATTGTAATTGTTGTGGATTCACTCTCCAACACGCCGCTGGGCTGAAGTAGTAAACTAATTGGCGCGTTGTTCTCACGTGACAAACCCTAATGGCTGTGTCGGGTGGTGGAGGGTTACGACACATTAACTCTTACACGATCTAACCCCACACCCTTCATTATGAAGAACAACTGCTGTCGACTTGCCACAGCGCAGTGATAAAGTTGCCAATCGCCCTTCGGTAGCCATGGTGGGGTTGAAATAATCGCACGCGCTGCATGCCTGTGTGCATACACATCATGCATTTTGACGAATATACAAGCATTGTTAAGCTCTCAATAAGGATTTGGACAATCATCTTAATGCAGGACGCTCCTGAAAATACATCTTTAGACTTTAGTGAGTTAGTGAGGCTTTCCTGCATAAAAAAGGGGTTAAGGTGCCGCCCTGCAATGTCTTGCTCACGCCACTGCTGGCAGAAGGGTCTGCACTGAAGGGAGCCCTTTAGAGATCCCCTCTGGAGGGTATTTGGCCTCCTCTTCCACGCCGGGCGGAGAATTGGTCAGGGCGGATATGTGACGGTCGCATTGCTTTGCAACAATTGGGAGGTCGGTTTCGTCTGCTGGAATGTTGCTAACCGTCCACAGCGAACACGCCTCCACACATGTCCCCCCCACCCCCTACTGGTGTGTCCGCACGGCAACACAGCTCTTGCCCAACTTGTCTACATTGCTCCACTAAACGTGGCGCCTACACAAGGACCCCAGAGCCCCCCCCCCCGTCTCGTACCCTGGCGATCGTCTGTAGCAGTGCCGGACTAAGCTCGTGCGGGGCCTGTAGCTCACGTTGTTATAAAGGGGCCCTAAATATATTTTTAAAAACGTAAATATTAAAACACATACATGTTTAACTTGCATAGTAAAGTAATTTTATTTTTTATTTGCTATGCAGCCAGATAATACGACAAATCGCTAACCTTAAACACCCAGTCGTTCATAAAAGTTGAAGGCGGTATAGTACTATAGTAATAGAGCAAATGCAGAATCACTGAATCGGAAAACATTTAGCGCGGGGCACTTGAAAGTGCGGGGCCCGTAGCTACATGTGTAGCTACTTTTGCTACAGGATAATCCGGCACCGGTCCCGTGGACGTCATTAACGAGTCGATCTCCGGGCGCGGCAGCTGAAACAATTAGACGTCATTAAATCCCCCCGCCCACGTTGTCCGCCTGGCCACGGCAGCGTGACAACAACATTGTCGTGACAACAACATTGCCACAGCAAATCACCGCAGGTGACAGCGATCGGGAGGCTCGAGTGGGTGGGGTGAAATGTGGGTACGCAGACCTCCCCAAGAAGAGTCGGGCAACCTTGATTTGAGGAGGGCAAAAGCTAGAGAGGGGCTGGCTCTCTTAAGAGCCGCTTCGATGGTGCAGCTCTTCCACCAGCAGTGGCCTTGCTGTGCACACAAAGATGCCCCGTATAGCCTGTACAGACTGTTGGGGCAAACGCTGTTAGCGAGTAGCACACCTATGAAGCCGGCATGGCACACGAGGGGGTGGGTGGTCAGCACCACGCCCGCCCGCCTTTGTCTCCCCAGTGGCGATGTTTACACACCTCACCAGGTACTCATTTGAGGCGGAGTCGACCTAGGGGAGGGCCCAGGACCGGTTCAGATAATCGTCACTGGGTGTTCGCCGTGAGCCGGAATCGAACTCGGGTAGCCGGGGTCCGTAGCGCGGCACGCGAACCGCGACACCACCGTTCCCCCACTCGCACGCAGACGCACAGCGAGAGGGTGGCAGCGGGCAGGGGGAGATGTACAGGCAGCGGCACTTGGAACAAACACGACTTAGCCCCCTCCCCCCCCTCACCTTGAACGCGCGGAGCTCCTCGGCCTTCGCTCCCTGCTCCTTCGCTCCCTGCTCCTTCGGTCCCCGGGTCTTCGTCACGAACTCGAAATAAGAAGTGCGACGAGCAGCCATCGCGGCGAGGGGGAGGGGGGGGGCGTGCAGCGCTGCGGATAACCGCGACCTCAGCTCGCGATCGAACTCATGCGCTTCGCAAGTGGCGCGGCGCCGGGCGGTTGCTGGTTCAGTCACCACAGCGAGGCAGGGGCCGACAGCGAGGCAGCCACGGGCTGTCAGCTGCAAATATATCCCCGGGTAGCGCCAACCCACCCTCTTCCACGGGGGAGGGGGGGGTCTCAGGAGCAACAAAAATCCGGTTTGTCAAAAAACCGGCACCAACACCACACCCTTTAACGTAAATATATAAATAACTGGGCGTTTTGTTGTGTGTGTGGATCTAAAAACACTTTTTGTTTAATTTAAGCTGGGAGGTGCGTACGCTCGTTTGCGATCCACCAAGAATGTCGCGTCTCTGTGCTACTGACTGGTCTCTGCTGCTTCGACACACACATAGAGAGAGTTCGTGTCTTTCTGTTCCTGTTCCTCCTCTATTGAAGCAGCGGAGACCGACAGTGGCTTTACAATATGGTCCAGAGTGAGATAAAAAAGAAAATGCAAGAGCTAAAAAAACAACTTCCTGCTGCTGCTGCATGCTTGATTGCCAGAATTGTAAAATGTGCTATCACGTGGCGCAATATCAATAAGATTTCATGGGAAAGGTTTTGCTTTATTATTGGCTCTAAGGCTTGTGTGTGATTCATTGAAGCCCAGGGTCCATTTATCCAATTCCTGGGTGTAGTCAGTGACCTATCTTGCCGTTGCTATGCTCTCAAAACATGCCCATAAATCTCACAGACGGCACCTTGGTAGGCACACGGCGTGGAGGGTTACATGGTCGAGAGATTTGATTTCGTGCGTTGTGTGGGTTTTTATCGATGTGCCAGTTGTGTTGTTATGGAAGTCATCTCAATGTCGTGAGCCTACAAGACTCGTCTCTCTATGAACTACTACAGTAGGCAGAGCTCCTTTCCAGGCAGGGAACAGCTCTGTAAATATGACGCCACAGAACCAATTCAATAGGGGGCCGCTCCAATAAGGGTCATTCCAATCGGGGCCGCCCTCAATAGTGGTCGCCTTCATAGGGGCCACTCCAAGGTTCCCGACCCAGTAGGGGTCGCTCCAATAGGGGCCCTCCAATAGGAGCCGCCCCCAATAGGGGCCACTCCTATAGGGGCCCCCAATAGGGGCGCTCCAACATGGGACCCCTCCAATAGGGGCCGCTCCAATGGGCCACCCGCCCCCACCGCGAGAGGGCGCTGCTTGACGCTCGTGGGGAGCGCCTCGCCGCCCGTCACCCGTCCCGATGGAAAAGCGAAAAATCCCTTCGACCTGGATTCACCATCGGCGGCCATGTATCTATCCACTGCTGGATGCAGGTCTCTCCCCCACGCGGAACCAACACGCTCCGGCGCTGCCGCCGTCCGTCTCACTCCTGCACGCGACCAGATCCCATCGCTCCATCTCCACGGCGGTCGTGCCTTCGGAGTGGCCGGCACTCCATCGCCGCCCCCGTGCCCATGGGCCATTGTCCCTCTTTCTTCTGTCGATGCTTCTCCTTCGAGCCCATTCACTCTTACGGATTGTCAACAGGAGGTCGCTGGTGACGAGGTGTCGTTCCCCTGATACCCGCGTGTCGCCTTCGTCTCACTCGGTGTTACAGGGTTACCGGTCATAACGAATCGTCCGTCACTGCACGCTTTTGTCGTGCACGTTTGTTGTTGTTGTCAGTTTCAGTGAATCATAAACACGGACATTGATGCATGACTGGATTAAGCAGAAGTTAATTAAACATTTTACATTTTAAACAATTCACAGGTATTTTAGTGCAGTCATTGGTGACCTGGCAGAGACCACCAATGCGCCAAACCTGAGAACCCGGTTTGATCACAGGTGGCAAATCTACATTCAAACCCAGTGTCTCAGTGATGCTGGCTCAGTGGCTACGACATGACCCCCCCCCCCCCCCCGAGCCATAGAGGCCCCGTCTACATTGTACGAGCTGCCGTGGAGCATTATGCGTAAAAGAAAATACGAGCAAAAGTGACGTCTCCATGAATACATAAAATTCGTCCATCAAACTGTTGGCTTTTGATGCCAATATTCGCCACTATTCTGGACTAATTTCGACCTTCCGGTCTCATCAAATACGTTATGTGCTAGATGTATTTCTACCCACGATGATCCACAATAATGCACGAGGTTAGCTACAATGTCGCTTTTAGTCTAGACGGAGTGCTCCTGCCGATAACGTCTGGGAACGCAGTAATGTCTGTTGCACAAGCTCTGACTCTGCTGATGAGACCCATGAAGGTCGGCACTGATACAGAGTTTGTTTGATTAGACAAATGCCGATGGGTAATATCAGTCTGGAAAGCCAATTAGGCCAGTAGGCTAAAGACAATATTTATATGCGGAGACACAGAAGGAAGTTCTGCTTTTATCTATATGTATATGTGTATCTTTACCTCCGAATGTTGACTTTGCAGGTCGTGCAACCGTGTGCCCTGGAAATACTCACTCGGCAAATCGGAATGCATTAATTCGGCTTAAACAGCGGACTGTTTGTGGGCGTTGTAATTAGAAAGAAGGTCCACGGCTGCTGCGTCTCGCTTTTTCGGGAGGGGAAGGGGTTAGTGGACACTTTTAATTGCGTCGCCTCCAGCGGTGCCAAAGTCAGAACTCTTTGTTGGCTCACTGTGTGTGCCTCTTCGCATCTCGCGTGTGGAATCGCGTGGGTGCTCTGCGCGGAGTCGCCGTCAACTTGTTTGAAGCTGACGAGCCACAGTCGTGCTCCCGGGGCCCTGCGAACCAAACCTTTGGAGCACTTCGGGAAGCCACATTCGGCTGCTCTCCTTCAACGAGGAGTAGGAGCGGCAACACTGCGCGGACTCTCTCTCTCTCTGCAGTCGCGCCGTGGGGAAGTCTTCAGTGGCCAGAGAGACTCACGCCCGCCCCGGGGAGATGTGGAACTTCCACCGCTGGCTCAGGGCTGTAGCCAGAAGACGAGCGCTGCTTCGGTGCTCATTTGAGCAAGAAATCACTTTTGTGAAGACGCCGCCCAAACTGTGGAGAAAAGCGAGTTGGCTTGGACAGAGCGATGACCGATGGTCAAGAATGATGACGGGGGGTGGCTGCCAAGGAATGGAATGTTTCCTCGAGGCGTCCACGAACGAAAGAGATGGTGGTGGTGGTGGACCCAATGGTATCGGCGTGCGCAAGTGCTGGGCGGATTGGTAGATCGCTGGATCGCGGGAGGTGGTGGCGGCTTGGGGAGGCCTTCATCCAGCAGTGTGTCGACCACGGCTGATGATGTTGATATGTTGCTCCAGTCGTCATAGATATCTCTAATGTCACGTGCAATGCGCCGCCGCTGCGCTGCATTTGCTCCTCGCTCTCGAACAGAGAGAGGACGACTCGGAGACGCGAGTATGGTCCCCGGAAAAACGGGGAAGCAGAAGAAGCCACGCGGGTGAGCCGGTGCCATGTACTCCCCAAGCTCTGCGATCCTCCATACGTGTTGAGATGTAGTCGGCCAATGAATGAGTGGTTTGAGTGGTTTACGTGTGCGAGAAAAACCGGAGCGCCCGGTGAAGACCCACGCGTGTGAGGGGGGGGGGGGCACTCGATCCCATACAGGCGGAGCGGATGGCGTGCACGTGTGCTGCCCCGTCTTCTCGTGGCGAGTCAGGGCACGGCTCCACCTCGACACCCTGCGCGTGTGATCCACCAGCCCTCGCCGCTGCCTCCACAGCGTGGGATTAGAGGCGTGTCTGGGTGGTGGTGGTGGTGGTCGCGAACAGCACTTGCCCCAACAGCATGTTAAGGCTACACGGGGGGTGTTTGTCTTTGTTTTGGTGGCGTCTGAGCTGACACCATCGGATCACTGCAATCGCGAGCCAAGTTGATGTCTCGGGTGGCGGAAAGCTGAGACCTGGTTTCGAACTCAGAAGGTCAGTGGTGCCAGGTTTGTCTCAGACACGGTATTTAATCACCTCAGACACGGTATTAATCACCTCAGACACGGTATTAATCACCTCAGACACTCGGCCACCTCATAGTCAAAAATATCTTCAGGCTGTGCTCAAAATATCAATCAAATTTTACAGCAGAATACCTCCTCCTCAAGAAGCAATTCGAGGCATTCGGTGAAGAATGTAATTACGTATGATGTCATTCGACTCTCCACAGGAGCCTCGCTGAGATTGAAGACTGATGTTTTTGGCAAATTATTTCAGTTTCCGATAAAGCTCCCAGGCACGTGGAGCGAAACGTCAGACATCGCGCCGTACAACATGGTTTAAATGTAGCCATGTTGTTGTTGGGTGTTTATGTTCGCTGTTCCTGCCACATGCACAGCCCGTGCCGACGCCCAACTGTGTGTGCCGTGAACCGTGCAAGCCGATTGTGACTTCGATCTCCTTTTTTGTTGTTGTTGTTGCTGTTGTTGTGTTTTTGATGTTACCACGTAAGACTCACTGAGCTCTACAGCTCTTTTTCAGAGGCGACCTCGCCACAAATGATCGCTAATTTCGTGGTCTATCACGTGGCAATGGATGGCAGCAGCCAAGCACTCTAAACGCGCGTTGTTCAATGTGGAGGAGGGGGGGAAATGACACAGAAACAAATCCACGCTGCCACGGGGAGAGAAACATGCCAACACCAAATATACAGCAGCAGGCGCCAGGGTCGCGATCGAAGCGACGACCTCCTGCGTACCAGGCGATGTAATCAACATCTCAAAGCCACCGCGGCGCCCTGCCGTGCGGTGAGGGTCCTGTTCCGTAGCAGGACGCCCACGAGACGCAGCCGACTTCACGGCTCGGCCAGGCAGCCGCAGGCTGATGCCACCGTGGCGGGCTGGCTTAGGTGGCAGCCGCAGGCTGATGCCACCGTGGCGGGCTGGCTTAGGTGGCAGCCGCAGGCTGATGCCACCGTGGCGGGCTGGCTTAGGTGGCAGCCGCAGGCTGATGCCACCGTGGCGGGCTGGCTTATTGTTGTCGCGTGCCGTGCGAGTGTGTCTCTCATGACGAGGAGGTCTCAGGCGGTGTCCCTGGCAGGCGGCCACCTCGAGATCCCGAGTAAAGCAGTAAATCACTCAAGACAAGAACACTCCTGTTCAGACTCGACCGCTACACCCACTGGTGCAATTAACGACACATTAAACACGTTTTTCGTATCTTGGGGCAAAATTATTAAAATGCAGAAATGTCAGTGGCAATCGCAAAGAGGGAACGTGGCCGACGA